ATTAAATGATAATAAAATCCATAATTTATGCAAATATACATGGGCCTATACATAGATTTCATATAGCCTATATATACATGTAAAAACAAGAAAAACAGAACAGAAAACTTTAATGAAATGAGTTAAAAAGTTGAAACAAGGTTACTGAGCTTTAAGATTCTCAGATGATGAAATATTTGGATGTACTGTTGGACCTCTCTCCTAAAAACGGTGAATTTGAAAAGAGAATTTAATAGCAATAATAGAATAATAATAAAGTATTCATTCGTTTGAGCTTTTTGTATATTAAAAAAAGCCAAACATTACATCCTTAAAAAAAAGAGAGAGAAACCCGGAAGAACATTGCAGTTAATGAGCATCTCGTCTGACTGTTTACTGATAAACCTGCTCCCTTTCAGGTACATCATGAACCGTACATTTGCACTCATGTGAATATTAGTGACTAAATCTATTTTTTGCTAGGTTAGGTATTGTGTTATATTGTTGAGTTAAATACGATACGGGGCGAATCCAATGTAAAATGCGAGAGTTTTCAGCTGGAGAGCACGCGGTTCGCTCGCAAATCGTTTATGTGTTTATCAGTAGAGTGATTAAATGAGTTGAAGGTCGATATATGATCTGTGTTTTCACTTGTGTTTTATGTCAGATTGAGGCTTGTGAATATAGACAGTCAGTGTCGCTGTTTTAGGATGCCCACTACTTTAAGTGCACTCATTTATTCACAGTGAACTTGGGATGCGTTGATTTAAAGGAGAAGTACATACGAGCTCATGCACTGGTGTATAACATTATAGAAATAATAGAGCTCATGCATTGTTGTGTAATAATTATTCATTGATTGCCAAGATTGATTCTAAGTAAAAACTCTGTTAATGAAGCATCTCGTCTGACTGTTTACTGATAAACCTGCTCCCTTTCAGGAGTGCTACATTAGCAGGGTTAAATTTGTGTACAAATTTTAGTGAAATGTCTTTCAAACTCAAAGTCCATACTGGCAAAGTCAATATGGTCAACAAAGTTCATCCAATATGACGCCACATATGGAGTTGTTACAAGCTCCTTTTAAAAGAGAGATCTAATTCTAGAATTACGGGATGAAGGATGCGATGTGTGTGTACTCTATAGCAGTGGTTCTCAAAGTGGGGTCCGCGGATCCCTGGTGGTCCGCGAGCTAAAGCCAGGGGGTCCGCGAAATAATTTACAACCTAACGTTTTTTTTCCATGCTATGAGTCATGTTTTCTTTATCATCTGAAAACATGCTGTTTATTCCTAAGTAACTTATATAAAGCATTTAACATAAAACAATACAAAGTAGACACTTAAAGTTTTCTATAGATAGATAATCTATATCTGTGCGTCAAGTAGATTCGCTGCTGTTGATTTTGCGGGACGTGCGCCAGAGGAGACAGAGAGACGGCATTAACCCGCATCCGGTTCTTTTCTGTATTTTTAAAAGGCATGACATTTTGTAGTCATTTATAATGTAGCCTATACACAAATAAAAAATGGACACTTTACCGTTTCGGATGATGCACTCTTGTCTTATCTATGACCATAAATAAGAGTATTCCTGTTTCCACTGCTGAGGAAAAATTCCCATGTAATTGCGCGCCGGCGTCTCGCGTGCGCGCACAATAGTCAGTTCTAGCACTGCTACTGTAGATTTGACATTAGAAGTCTGATCATTATCAAAATAAAAGTGCATAGTGACAGGGCCGTACCCACAACTGAGGTTGCAAGGATGCACATCGCGATGATAACTGACCTTCTCGTCTGAGGTGCTTCAGCAGACTAACAACGATAGCTCGTCAATGTCAAAATGTTTGAGTCGGAGTGAACTCAAAGTTCCCCGCACGACGTTTCAGTCAACGGTCAATCAGTGCGAGATAAGATGTAGGCCTTAATTAACATAAACTAAACAGCTGTTTTAGATAAAAGTTTTAAAAAACGACTGAAACAATCAGTTTGCAAAGTATTAATCAACTTTAACAAAGGAAAAAGCAGGTCAATAGAAACATACTGTGCCCATGAGATTAACATTATGGATTCATATATTTAACATACTGTATGTTTTTTTTTAGCTAATTACAGTAGCTCAAATTAACAACGCACGCACCTATTAAACATAATGCCATTATCATTGTATTTATAGGCTTATGGGCTTTATTTGTGTGCAGAATAGGCCTAATTATTGAAACATTTCTCTTTTAAGGCCATTCCTGATTGGAATATGTGATTGTGTTTCGTGACATCTTGACAAAAAAAAAAAAATGTATGCCACTGACTGACATGCTTCTACTAAATCTATAGTTATCCAATTGTGGGGCCTTAAAACACCTTAAAATGCACATGTGTAGATCAAGAACATCAAAAATTCCTAAGTGAGGGATCCTAACTAAGTGATTCCTAGCAAGATCACTTTCGTTACCTCAGTAGGCTATTTAGAAATTCCTGCATAGTACCCTGGGTGGAGACCATTCATTTTGTGCAAAAATATTTCATTTGCCGCTCACACATTAACTTTGTGCTCAATAACTGTTATAAATATGAGGGGGGTCCTTGGAATTTTTTTTCCCCTGAAAGGGGTCCCTGGCACCAAAATGTTTGAGAACCCCTGCTCTATAGTGTAGGCTTCTGTATTAACTGATCAGGTTGAATATGGGCACACTAGCATTATATAGTTATCCTCTAAGTTCGTAAGGAGGATTTGAGACAGCAATTTCACTACAACTTGTGAAATGAAAAAAAGAAAATGCACTGAATTGGTACCAGTTCAAAGTTGATAAATCTACAATCAGTAGAGTGCCGAAGTGATGACGTCACTTTGTAGGACAACTCGGAAGCTAGCGGCACGTGGGTTCCCTCTGTCGAAAAGCTATGCATTTTCCCCATAGACTTTTGAAAAATCGCAAAAAATAAGATCTGTGTTTAACAAACAGTTGTGAGTGTGACCCTTACACGTTTTGTCTATCAAGATAATTTTTACAAGTTAATCCAAAAGTTACACATTTTGAAGCCTATATAAAGTTTTTAAAAAACACAAAAAGACACAATAAAGTTTTAAAAAACCACAAGTGGGTTATAACTGTGTTCTATGTCAGACATCAAAACGTGAAAATATTTAGAGGCTTTGTTCACCACAGACCTTATTTCAGGCGATTTAGCAAAAACCCATTCAAAAATCCCATAGGCTTTAGAGCGAGGGAACCGTAGTGCTAAAATGCTAACTCACTTCCGCGTTTTGGCCTACAGAGTGACGTCGTAACTTCGGCACTCTAGAACTAAAACAAATACAAGCAGGCCTGCTTCATATGACAGAACAGAAGCAGAAATAAACATGTGACAGAAGAAAGATTTACTAGCCAGGTAGTTTTAAACTCAGTTTCAGTACTCACACTCTCCGCCTCTGCAAGTTTCAGAAGGCAATGATTCAGATTTCTCATGCCACAGCACTAGAAGACAGACGGGTTGCTCACGTCACATCTACATCGTCAAGCTCTGTTTGAGTCGGTTTGAGTCTGCGCGTCAGGAACGGAAGTGCTAAAAAATCGCTAAAAGTGGGCTTCACTTGTCTCAATTGAGTTCCAATGAGATGGCTCTGTCCACTTCTTATACTGTCTGGTCCATACATGAGAATGCAGATTATCACTACGTTTTATGGATGCCAATTGATTAAAACAATGAATAATGATGTCTGTATTAATTATCTTGAGCCTGCTGAAATGTTCCTATAAATATATTTTCTTTCCAACTGTTCCATTCTGAATAAATAGGCTAAATATATTTATCCACTAACCTGCAGCAGTCATGTGTCATCTCGTTCAGTTTTTTTCTCTTAGCCTACCTATATTCTATGCTTGAATTTAATTTTTTTTAATTAATTTCACTAATAAAAAGTATTTCTTGTGTGCATTGGTAATAGTTGAATGAATAAATGAATGAATGAATGAATGAATGCTCGCGAGGTGCCATACGACCAGAACGCACACAGCATAGAGGAGAATGACAGTCAACTTCTTTGAATATTAAAGGGATAGTTCACTTTGAAATTAATTTTTGATATGTTTTAGATTACCTCAAGGGCATCCAATATGGTGTCTCTGCAGTATTTTCAATTTTGATATTTTTAGGTCAAACTGTTCTTGTCTGTCAGTCATATAATGGAGATCTATGGGGTCCACCTCAAAGAGCATGCACAGAGAAGTCAAAATTAAACATGATTTAAAGACTTGTAAATGTAAGTACACATTGATGGCATAAGACATGAAACGAGCGGTTTGTGTGAGAAAACGAACAGTATTTATATAGTTTTTTTTTACCTCTTGTAACCACAGCCACGTCCAAGTGATCTGAAGGCACAGGCGCTTCGGTCTGCGCATGCGCCGGAAGTGATCTCTCGCACGCCTACGTCACTCTTTGTTTATACATATTTTTATATATATATTTTAGGTGGCGTTTGTTCAACTCATTGACTGCAGTACATTGAAAGTAAACATAACCAAAAGTGATATGTATTATTTCCACACGGAAGATCGTGAAGTTCAGTGCAAGCGGTCCATTATATTTTATATATGCGTAATCTAGGATTTAAATAAATTTTCCACTTTTCCTGATATGTCACCAAATTATCTTAACACATTTTTCAATGGTTGTTCTCTTATTAATCCTGTCAAAGTCAAACCCTAAATTATTCTGACTTTAAATAAAAAATATTGTTATAAAATAATACTAGAAATATTGTTTTTTATTATGAAGTGAAAGGACAAGGTGAGATGTTTTATGGAGAAACATTAGAATAGAAAACAATACATTTTTCCCGCTGTGAACAATGTAGGCAATGACAAGTAGTTCAGCTTCAGTCTCAAGCGCGTTCGAAAATGACGTCATAAAAGAAGTTGAGCGTTGTCATGGTTCTTTGTGTTGTGTTTGTCAGTTAACTTAGTTCAGCCGTGTGAAACACATAACCTACTACAGTCAGTCTTCGTTGTTTGTTTTGCAGTTTATTTGATAAAGTTACCCAACTGGACAACTGTTATCATGGCAAAGCCCCTCGCTCAGTGCGACTCCTCCCCCTCAACATCCACAACCGACGCGGCTACTGCACCGAGAAATGAGAGAAGTGCTGAGGGTAAGTTAAATCAAATGACCATTACAAATCCATCCACACCACCATAATACCATAATTAAACTTAAGTTTTTTCTTTTAATTCCAAGACATGTCTTAAATATTAGGGGTGGGGGGGAATCGATACAGCATAGTATCGCGATATTTTCTGAGGCAATACTGTAAAATTATCTGTTTTACTTTCCGATTTTCTTCATTGGTTTCTCTATCTTTCACTGATTGAGAACATAGGTTGAATCCGAAATCGCCCCCTAAACAATCATTGACTAAGTTAGGCTTATTCCCTAAGTTAGTCCACTACTGTTCGCTTGAAGGAGTGAATGAAAACGAGTGAGTGAATCCGGACAGCCGTTGAGCGTTGTGGGCTAAGTTCTTAATACTGCAATGCAGGACAGAGACGCGATCTTATCACGCGTCCCATTTTCTCACAAATGTTCATTTAAGACTTTATTTTAATCATATTAGACAGCTCTTATGAGGACATTTGACAAAACGGACGTTTTGGCATAATTTGTGTGTAATGATTTGCTCAAGCCGTTAACACCGACTATCGTAGCAATCCTGGAGCTCAACATATTCATGTGAGAGGTCTCCTCTCCTATTTATAGAATAATTATGTCCTGTCCTGTGTCCTGAATGTTCAAGAACAAGTTTTTGCACTTCAGTTGAAGATAATGTTTACAGAATTAAATGTGACATTTAATTAAAATGAGTTGAGCAGTCTTATTTTGCTCATTTTTTGTGATGTCTTTGAATAATATGTGGAACATGAATCGCAATATATTGCTTGTATGACAATATATATTGAGAATCGCAATAATATTGAATTGTGGCCCAAATATCGCGATACTATCAAATCGTCACATCGTTGCCAATTCCCAGCCCTTTTAAATATCTAAACAAGTTTTGTAAAAAAAAAAACATAAAAAACACAATTGTACAATAAAATTTGGTTTACTGCCATATCTCAAATATTACTCTCACTGCTGTCCATGCTTGACAGAATGTCAACTATAACCATTAAATCTTTTAACAGACGACATTCTGAGCCGGTTTGAAATCGGCAAAATCCTTGGTTTTGGAGGATTCGGCAAGGTTTATGAAGGGACGCGCTTGGAGGATGATCTTGAGGTATAGTCATTTCTTACATTTATCAATTTAGCAAATTCTTTTTCGTCTCACAATCCATTTCAAGTCCTTTTATTGTATGTTATGTTCACTAGGCTATGTGTTGCAATTTACATGTTTGTAAATGTAATTGTAATGGGCTAAATGTTTTGTTTTGTTGATCAGGTGGCAGTGAAAATTGTCAAAAAGTCAAAGAACATGGAATACATCAGAATTGTAAGTTTGATCATGAAAACAACATTTTTCCAAAACTGGACAAACATTTTTTATTCTAAAATCCTATAAAAATCCTCCAACCAACAATGATCTTTCTTCCAGCCTGGTCATCCTACACCCGTCCCATTAGAGGTCGGCCTGTTAACCGCTGTTAATAGGGGCCCCAAAGTTAAAGAGATCATTGAACTGCTGGACTGGCAGGACCAGCCTGACCAATATATCATGGTCTTGGAGCGTCCCCCACACTGCGAAGATGTGTTTCGTTTTTGGGATAATCGCAAACGCATCCTCAGTGAGGAAACGGCACGGACTATCATGGCACAGGCAACAACGGCTGCTCAGACGTGCTGTGACCGAGGAGTTTTCCACGGTGACATCAAGTTACAAAACCTGCTGATCAACAAAAAAACACGTGAGGTCAAACTGATTGACTTCGGGAGCGGGAGTTTCCTGAAAGAGTCCGGCTATTACAACTTCCGTGGTATGTATTACGAATCAAGGTTTGAAAAGAGTTTTTATTTTTTAAATTTAGATGAATATGTTCTAAATATGTCGCCTCACGCCTGGTTTGGCCATGGATTGATCTCACTTTTAAAACTCCAGAATTGTGAATAAAAACAACTAAATTATTCTTTACTCTAATGGATACAGAAGGTGTTGATACACGGGGCAACTTTTTTGAGCAATGTTGCAGAGCGATGTTGCTTGGCCGCTTTCTCATTGAGAATGGGCAACAAATTTCTATCTGGGTACTTTAGATCGGTCATGGGCCCTGTATCTCACCTGGTTTCCTGTTAACGGCAACATTGCTCAATAAGTTGCCCCGTGTATCGTCACCTAGAGAAAACATGCTATGGGATTTCAAACTTAACCATCAGACAAATCTCTTTCTAGGTACAAGACCGTACTGTCCACCTGAGTTCCACACAAGGGGCAATTACCACGCTGAACCAGCTACTGTGTGGTCTCTGGGAGTGCTCTTATTCGTAATGTTGTTTGGACGCTTTCCAGAAGCCAAAGACCATCTGAGGATTAATGATGACATCTGGTTTGAGCGTCACTTGTCAAAAGGTAAAATTGCACTCATTATAAAAAAGATGATCAATTATAATTTCAAATCACCAAAATAGAACAAATGAAACAAAGAAGTAACAGTAACACCAAAACCAGAAAGCTTTATAAAATATGGCTGTTACCAGTTCCAGTTTTTTTTAACCGTACAGTATAGCGTAGTCTAATCTCACAGCTTAATACAAAGACAGCAGGTGTAAAGTTTAAGGTCTCTTCACAGATTGCCGCAACCTGATTCGACGCCTCCTGCGGGAAAACCCAGCCCAGCGGATTGATTTGGAGGAAATCATTTCCCATAATTGGTTTAAGGTAATGATCCTAATAAGCTAGAAATTAATTTGGATTTACAGGTGGAACTCGAAAAATTAGAATATGATGCAAAAGTTCATTTATTTCAATAATTCAACTTAAAAGGTCAAACTAATATATGATAGAGAGACTCATAACATGCAGAGTGTGATATTTCAAGCCTTTATTTGTTATAATTGTGATGATTATGGCGTACAGCTATGAAAACCTTTTCACAATATTCTAACTGAATTTGGGTTTCATCCATAATCATCACAATTATAACAAATAAAGTCATGAAATGTCTCACTTTGCGTGTTATGAGTCTCTATGGCCTTGTTTACACTGCATGGTTCAAGTGACCCAAATCCGATTTCTTCCTCTCATGTGGCACAGATCGGATATGACCTGTGAACGTGTAAGCAGGAAAAAATGCATGGATTCCGATTTTCTCAGATCAGATTCAGGCCTCATTCATATGTGGTAATAAATCGGATATGTGCATTTACGTGTGCCATGTAAGCAGACAAATCGGATATTCCTCAGTAAATGCGAGACGTACGTCATTAAAAAGTGCGCGATTATAGGCGCGATGGAAGAAAGGATACACACAGTGGAGCAATGCGGAGGTTTCATGTCTTTTGAGTGTTTTGGGCGATGAGTGCAGGCAAAAATGCAGGGTTGTTACAGAAATAAATCTGTATTTGAAGACATTTCACGAGATAAATGAGGCATCGTTTTAAGTGCTCGCTACAGTGCCTCTCCTCTTATTCTCCGGCGTACGAGACCAATGTTTTGATGACTTTTCAAAATATTGTGGAAAGAAAAACACTGGATAATTTTATTCGCATCTGCATCCATTGAAATTTGTGCTGTTTTACTTAATTTCCCGGGTCAGAACGTCTGCATTTGGTAGTTTCAGCAGTGTATAGTGTAAATGCAAAAATTGGATATGGGTCACTTTTAAAAGATGATGTAAGCGGGTTGTCAATAAAATCAGATATAGTCAGAAAATCGGATTTGGGCATCAAGACCTGCAGTGCAGCCTATAACAAATTATTTTTACCCTCGCTCAGGTGTGCGACTCCCCCTCAACATCCAGAACCAACGCGGCTACTGCACCGAGAAATGAGAGAAGTGCTAAGGGTAAATCAAATGACCATTACAAATCCATCCACACCACCACACATTATACCATTATTAAATTTATAATTCCAAGACATGTCTTAAATATCTAAACAAGTTTTGTTAAAAAAAGAAACTACAATTGTACAATACAATTGTTTTACTGCCATATCTCAAATATTACTCTCACTGCTGTCCATGCTTGACATTTCATGTCAACTATAACCATTAATCTTTTAACAGACGACATTCTGAGCCGGTTTAAAATCGGCAAAAAGCTTGGTGTAAGAGAATTCGGCAAGGTTTATGAAGGGAAGCGCTTGGCAGATGGTCTTGAGGTATAGTCATTTCTTACATTTATCAATTTAGCAAATTCTTTTTCGTCTCACTATCCATTTCAAGTCCTTTTATTGTATATAATGTTCACTATGTGGTGCAATTTACATGTTTGTAAATGTAATTGTAATGGGCTAAATGTTTTGTTTTGTTAATCAGGTGGCAGTGAAAATTGTCAAAAAGTCAAAGAACATGGAATACATCAGAATTGTAAGTTTGATCATGAAAACAACATTTTTTCCAAAACTGGACAAACATTTTTTATTCTAAAATCTTATAAAAATCCTCCAACCAACAATAATCTTTCTTCCAGCCTGGTCATCCTACACCCGTCCCATTAGAGGTCGGCCTGTTAACCGCTGTTAATAGGGACCCCAAAGTTGAAGAGATCATTGAACTGCTGGACTGGCAGGACCAGCCTGACCAATATATCATGGTCTTGGAGCATCCCCCACACTGCGAAGATGTGTTTCATTTTTGGGATAATCGCAAACGCATCCTCTGTGAGGAAACGGCACGGACTATCATGGCACAGGCAACAACGGCTGCTCAGACGTGCTGTGATCGAGGAGTTTTCCACGGCGACATCAAGTTACAAAACCTGCTGATCAACAAAAAATCACGTGAGGTCAAACTGATTGACTTCGGGAGCGGGAGATTCCTGAAAGAGTCCGGCTATGACAACTTTTGTGGTATGTATTATGAATCAAGGTTTGAAAAGAGTTTTTATTTTTTAAATCTAGATGAATATGTTCTCACTAAATATGTCGCCTCACGCCTGGTTTGGCCATGGATTGATCTCACTTTTAAAACTCCAGAATTGTGAATAAAAACAACTAAATTATTCTTTACTCTAATGGATACAGAAGGTGTTGATACATGGGGCAACTTTTTTGAGCAATGTTGCAGAGCGATGTTGCTTGGGCGCTTTCTCATTGAGAATGGGCAACAAATTGCTATCTGGGTACTTTAGATCGGTCATGGGCCCTGTATCTCACCTGGTTTCCTGTTAACGGCAACATTGCTCAATAAGTTGCCCCGTGTATCCTGGAGAAAACATGCTATGGGATTTCAAACTTAACCATCAGACAAATCTCTTTCTAGGTACAAGAAGGTACTGTCCACCTGAGTTCCACAAAAGGGGCAATTACCACGGTAAACCAGCTACTGTGTGGTCTCTGGGAGTGCTCTTATTCGTAATGGTGTGTGGACGCTTTCCAAAAGCCAAAGACCATCTGAGGATTAAGAATAAGACCTGGTCTATGTTTCACTTGTCCAACGGTAAAATTGCATTCATTATAAAAAAGATTATCAATTATAATTTCAAATCACCAAAATAGAACAAATGAAACAAAGAAGTAACAGTAACACCAAAACCAGAAAGCTTCATAAAATATGGCTGTTACCAGTTCCAGTTTTTTTTAACCGTACAGTATAGCGTAGTCTAATCTCACAGCTTAATAGAAAGACAGCAGGTGTAAAGTTTAAGGTCTCTTCACAGATTGCTGCAAACTGATTCGACGTCTCCTGCAGAAAGACCCAGCCCAGCGGATTGGTTTGGAGGAAATCATTTCCCATAATTGGTTTAAGGTAATGACCCTATTAAGCTAGAAATGAATTTGGATTTACAGGTGGAACTCGAAAAATTAGAAAATCATGCAAAAGTTAATTTATTTCAATAATTCAACTTAAAAGGTCAAACTAATATATGATAGAGAGACTCATAACATGCAGAGTGTGATATTTCCAGCCTTTATTTGTTATAATTGTGATGATTATGGCGTACAGCTATGAAAACCTTTTCACAATATTCTAACTGAATTTGGGGTTTCATCCATAATCATCACAATTACAACAAATAAAGGCTTGAAATGTCTCACTTTGCATGTTATGAGTCTCTATAATATAGTAGTTTCACCTTTTAAGTTGAATTACGTAAATAAATGAACTTTTGCACAATATTCTAATGTTTCGAGTTTCACCCGTATATTAATATTTGGAAGACACTTTTTTTGTCTATTTGTTTGATATGTTCTTAGTTTATTGTGAAACAGGAAAAGTCAAGGTCAAATCTCTTATATGTGTAATGTATGTTTATCATCAACCTGTTAGAAAGGGAAGCGATAGTCAGGAGAGACAGAAGAGGAGGAGTAGGTCGGAGCAGCAGCTGAGGTCAGGGTCAGAAAGTGGACGATCAGACCACTGCAGCCACTAGCGAGAGAAGTTTTCTGTTTATTAGAGCTCTGTACATAATTTTCAGAAAGATTAATGCAATCCCATATATACCTGGAAAACTGGCATGCCGCCTGCCAATGAAATAATCCAAGAAAGTGAAAACGTGTATTTCTGTTACTTTGAATAATGGCGAAAGGTGAAATGTATATTTTTCTTCTCCAATTATTTTTTCCCCAATACAGTTGCTGTCAAAACCCAAATTTAATGGAGTGGAGAAGATCAAAACATGGACATACATGTCTGCTGCGGGACTGAATGTGACCCCTGGACCGGATTACGCACAGGTACTCCATTTCTCTGTCCAGGTCGTATCCAGATTGAGTCGACGCGGCTGATAATCATCAACCATTTGAGGAAAATGAGATGCCGATGAGAAAGAGGACAAGGACGGGAAGTTTTGTGAAGCTGCCGTCTCTTCATTATCGCAGCTCAGACCAGACCACTGCACTGATAAATGAGAGAAGTGCTGAGGGTAAATCAAATGACCATTACACATCCATGTGTTATATTTTAACAAGAGAATCACCATAATGGGTATGCAGTGTGTAATTATTATGTATTTCACACAGAACAGTTAGATACTGAGCTGACACTTTTTATCCAAAGCATTATTTATTTGAAACGTGAAAATCTCTACTGGACAGTGCCTGTGCTCTAGAGGATCATGGTCTTCAGGAACCTCTATCCAGTGGTCTTGAAGTCGTTTCTCCTGTAGATCCGCAGGTTCAAACCCCTTCAGCTCCAGTCCACCACAGTCCAGCACCAGATCACAGAGCGGACGTAACAACTGAGGGTGAGTTTACTGCCATATCTCAAATATTACTCTCCCTGCTGTCCATGCTTGACATTTCATGTCAACTATAACCATTAATCTTTTAACAGACGACATTCTGAGCCGGTTTAAAATCGGCAAAATCCTTGGTTTTGGAGGATTCGGCAAGGTTTATGAAGGGAAGCGCTTGGAGGATGGTCTTGAGGTATAGTCATTTCTTACATTTATCAATTTAGCAAATTCTTTTTCGTCTCACAATCCATTTCAAGTCCTTTTATTGTATCTTATATTCACTAGGCTATGTGGTGCAATTTACATGTTGTAAATGTAATTGTAATGGGCTAAATGTTTTGTTTTGTTGATCAGGTGGCAGTGAAAATTGTCAAAAAGTCAAAGAACATGGAATACACCAGAATTGTAAGTTTGATCATGAAAACAACATTTTTCCAAAACTGGACAAACATTTTTTATTCTAAAATCTTATAAAATTCCTCTAATCAACAATGATCTTTCTTCCAGCCTGGTCATCCTACACCCGTCCCATTAGAGGTCGGCCTGTTGTTAATAGGGGCCCCAAAGTTAAACAGATCATTGAACTGCTGGACTGGCAATTATTTTTTCCCTAAAAATTTGACTATTTTTTTCTCAACAGTTGCGGTCAAAACCCAAATTTAATGGAGTGGAGAAGATCAAAACATGGACATACATGTCTGCTACGGGACTGAATGTGACCCCTGGACCGGATTACGCACAGGTACTCTGTTTCTCTGTCCAGGTCGTATCCAGATTGAGCCGACACGGCTGAAAAGCATCAACCATTTGAGGAAAATGAGATGCCGATGAGAAAGAGGACAAGGACGGTAAGTTTTGTGAAGCTGCCGTCTCTTCATTATCGTGACTGCGGCAGCTCAGACCAGACCACTGCACCGATAAATGAGAGAAGTGCTGAGGGTAAATCAAATGACCATTACAAATCCATCCACACCAACACGCATTATACCATAATTAAACTTAAGTTTTTTCTTTTAATTCCAAGACATGTCTTAAAAATTGTTAAAAAAACTAAAGTGTTACAATAATCATGTTACAATCAATGCTACAATAATCGTTACATCATTAGAAGAATGGCATCTATGCTAATTTTAGTGTCTTTGTTTATCCCGAGGTTTTCCCGCAGCCTGCCGGATCCAGGCCGTATCCAGATGTGAATTCGTTTCGCGTCCCTACCCTGAAGTGATTCGAAAATCTGTATCAAATTTATAGACAAGAAGTTTGTTCAGGCATGAGGGAATTTAAAAACCTGCGTCCATATATTCAAACGCACATAACTCTTGAATCAGTTCTTAATGTGCATGTGAACGTTATCAGCAGGGCTGTTACTACCAATTTATCACAGGTTCGCGTTTAAAGTCTATTTAGAAACATTCATATAAATTTTCACGTGACAGTTACTGTAAATTCGGCCTCTAGTTCATAAACGCCAGAGGAGAACTGGCCCCCGACTGAGCCTGGGTTCTCCCAAGGTTTTTTTTTCCTCCATCGGGTCACCTGATGGAGTTTTTCAGTTCCTTGCCACTGTCGCCTTTGGCTTGCTCAGTTGGGGATATTCAAATCAATTATACAGGGCTGTTGAACGCTTGATTCTGATTGGTTGAGAACGTTTTAAAGGTGTGCAATTATTTTCACGGCTAAAGTAGTTTCAGGCAAGTTTGAACCGCATTACAGTTCCATATCACTGCGCGTAGTTAACGGAAAATAGGATACAATTCATAACAAGAGAAGACATGCAGCCCCATGCGCTTGATCTGCAATTTTCGATGTCTAACTTCACAATCAATGGACACATACAGTTTAATTTTAATAAATAAAGTATAGTCCTATCTATAATAGGCTAAATAGAAAATTAAACTGAATAGGCTATATAAATAAATTAATAGTCCTGCTGCACGGATTTTCGTAATTATTCCAGATAATATAACAAATAAATAATTATTGATTGGCTTACTTGTAAAAAAGTGGTTTGTGTGTTTCATTTATTGGGTTATCTACTGTCAATTATAGAAAACAATAATGAATGAATTAATTACAACGAAGTTAATAAATAAATAAATAAATAATATTGACACACATGCTTTTCTGTCTCATTATTTCAACGTCTCTCTCTCTCTCTCTCTCTCTCTCTCTCTCAAATTCAAATGAGCTTTATTGGCATGACTTATACAGTATTGCCAAAGCATTGGCCATTACATAGGCAATGAACAAATAATCAGTAAATGAATCAGTAAACAAATGCATGAAATACATGTATATATCAGAAAACAAACAAACAAACAAAAAACACAGTTTTGAACCAACATTCTGACTCTCGTAATTTGTGGCAGGCTGTTACATAGTTTGCTGCTGTTGTGATTGAGCTAGAGTTTTCTCCCACAATATGAATACATTTTTCTGAATTTGGCAATGCCATAAAATTTGGATCTAGTCGTTGGAATCTAGAGAAATAGTCTGATCTAATGCTGTGATAATGATCACAGTGAATGAGGAAGTGTTCTTCTGTCTCCACCTCTCTCTGAGAGCACAGTGAACATAGTCTCTGCCGGTGCCGTCCTCTCTCCACAGCCAGACTGTGGTCACTCAGTCACAGGGCTTCGGTCTGGAATGAGCTCGGGTCACTGTGCTTTAGGTGCTGGTAGAACTTTATAGCTCTTTTCTGGATGCTGATCAATAGCGGGGTATGGTCCTAATTCAGCTCTGCATGAGTTGTTTGGTGTCGCTCTGTTCACTTTTAGGATGTTTTTGCAAATTTGGGTATGCAGAGTTTCAATTTCTTCTTTCTCCCATTTTGAGAAATCTTGGGTTTTTAGAGGTCCCCATATCTCGCTGCCATACAGAGAAATTGGTTCAATTATTGCTTTTAGGATTTTTAGCCAGGTTTGAATTGGAATTTCATGTCTAATTGTATTTTTAATCATGTGGAAGACTCTCATTGACTTTGCCTTCAGCTCATTCACAGCCAGATTAAAGTTCCCTGTTGAACTCCGTTTTAGAACCAGATATGTGTAGTCGTGGGTGTGTTGGAGGACTTGTTTTCCTGCTCTGAAGATATATTTATTTTCCCTACACCTGGATCTGTATTGAAAGATCATCACTTTAGTTTTTGCTAAGTTAATTTTGAGAGCCCACGTTTGGCTGAATGTCTCTACGACGTCGAGGAGCTGCTGTAGTCCCTCTTGTGTTTTAGACAGAAGGACTAAATCATCTGCAAAGAGGAGACATTTAACTTCTGATTGGGTCAGGGTTGGGCCGGGGGCAGTGGAATTGTTTAAAAGTGAATAATTGTAAATACATTCAATTTAAACAAATGAAATAAGTTAATAAATGCCATTAAATGCCTCCTTGTCTTCTTTTTTAGTTATTTACATAACATCCACTCAAAATATGACTAAATAAAGCAAATTACATTAGCAATTCAAATTAATATAGATAGAAAATTTTAATAATACACATTTTAGTTGGACAAGTTAAATATCATGTTTTTGTATCTGTAATCAAATGGTCTCAAAATAAGTTGATATTATAAAATACGTTATTGTCAAACACAAACTATTTAGTATAAAACCTGAGATCCAAAACACATTCTTGTGTATTATAATTCCATTTTACAATTTAATATAAAATAACTAATCAGCACTGCAGAATAGAGATCAGTGACAGATAGAATCTTAGACAAATCAGATGTGAAAATTATAGTACAATCAAGGGACTGCAGGCTGTTAAATAATTATTTACAAATATTATGGATAATATATGTCCATGCTCAATCAGCATCCTCGTGGATGATTCCCAGCCGCATGTTCACAAGGGCCGCACAGATTCTGAGGATTTTGTCCATTTTGTGTGCCAAGTTGATGGGTACAGTCTGGGAGATTATTTTGAACACTTTGAGCCTCCTGATGACTCTTTCCACATGAATGTGAACATTTGCAATCCTCCTTGTGACAGTTACATCCTCATCAGACAACTGCCCTCCTTTATGAGTGAACGCTGGTTAAGGTTAACCCCTCTCTCAAACAGCAGATCTCTGATGGTACAGCCTCTGTCTGCCATCACTTCAAGCCAGACTCCTGAGTGATGAACTTGTCACTACACCTGCCTCCTAGGGTGACCACCTGCTAATAAGCCCAAGGGGGGACAAGGGGTATGTTTCTGAGGGACAATGTGGGACACTGCTTGGCGCGGCGGTGCCCCCACCCCACGGGCAGACTCTGATAGAGGTTTACCCATATCTAGAATTGTTACTATTGCCTTACTGTTTGTACATAAATAATTGTTAAAAAAAGCACATACCTTAGCACATGCATTAATAATGCCCTATTCCCTAAACATGTGTAATTGCTGATATATTCTCATGATAGGCCAACCAATGTGTATTTGTTTTCTAAATAAAGATGAATATTTTGAATATTCAATGAATTGACAGCACTTCCACTTACGATTTACTTTAGCTATTTAATTTTATTTATTTTTATTACAATTAATTCACTTTAAATCAATAAAAGTATAAAATTATAGGATTAACAGGAATTATAGTTGCTCAACACCACAGGAACAGTTTAAAAAAAGTCGAAAAAAAGTCTAAACTCACAACTCCAGAGGTTCACGGAATGAGAAGCTGCGCTGTCATGACAACAATGAAAAAGTTGACATCAACCTAGTCAGCAGGTCACGTGGGAGTGGCAACCAGTCTTGATGAAGTTCACTTTATACATGAACTAGTTCAAAGTTCAGTTCACACATTTTAAAATGAACTAGTTAAGTTCAAGTTTACACAGAAATGTAAGATTTTTCCCATCTTCACCGACCTCGTTATAAAATCCGTTTAAACTATCATTCGACGGCGGCCGCGGTGCGACACTGGTGGCTTGTGTTGCCAGATTTGGTGTTTTTTCGCTACATATTGAGCCCTGTTTACGGTGAGTTTTAGCAGGGTGTTCGCCTGGAAGGCTCTATAGAAATCTGGCACCCCATTGAACGAAGTTAAACTGAGAGAGCGTGCGACACCAGAATGAACGAGTTCACACGTTCATCAGGACAGGCAGTTAAAAAATACGTTCAGTTCACCCAAAATATGAACAAGTTCATGAACGTGAACGTGTTCAGGCACAACGTTTGGCTGCTTGCGTCTCGAGGATAAAGAGTGACCGACTTTTTTTGAGCAAGCATTGATTATGCGTGACGCGGTCTCAATTTGCGGGACGCATGAATTGGGCTTCAAACGCTGTGCGCGCACGCGCTACGCGGGACGGGTGGTCACCCTACCTGCCTCCATAAGCAGGAGAAATGAACATAACAAGCCCACACGGGGCAATAGGAACTAAATACTTTATAGTATTGCTGGAATAATAATGGCTGTAGGACTCGCCTCAAGAGTCAATGTTGTGTGGTTTCTGCAGGTTGGTCTCACTGCAGTCAACTTCTGCCTGAAGCACTGAGGCATTGTGCTCCGGATTGTCTCCCGTGGCAGCCAGGAATGAAGATTCTCCTCCATTGTGTCTATCCAGTAGGAGAGGGTCCTGCTCACTAACCCCTGGGACACAGCAAAGCGTTCGGCAAGATCACCCTGGAGAAGATTCAACTTTAGTTTCATCATGGTCATCAATATTTGATCCATTTCGTGCATCTTAAAGTTTGCTTTATAGAACTGTTCCAGATATTTAACATGATCAAAAAATGCATTGAGAGAAAGGCCTGTGTACAACACACAGCTAGTGTCATTCTTCAGGATAGCTGTCAATCCTCCCGTTTTTTCCGGGTTTCTCACGTATTTTAGCTCTTTTCCCGCTGTCTTCCCGTTTGAGTATTTTCCCGTAAAATATACCGTATTTTTACTCTCTGATTGTGTGAGACGTACGGGCTCGGACAGATTTGGCTTGAAGTCGTTTATCCTCGGATGCGGTGCCGCGCGCGCTGGCCGGAGACACACTGGCTGCGTGGTGTGTCCGTTTTTATTGCACGCTGCCTGCGTGACACGCGCGTCTCCAGAAAACGCGTGCATGCTAGAAATAGAACTGACGCCTATTTTTCACGCGACAGGCAGGCGTGTATCTTTGCCTGGAATTTCTTTGCGTTTCCAGGCAAAAAAAATAAATAAAAAATAGGAAACGATGTTTAGGCTAGCTGAATGTAATTTTGTACTCGAATACATATTAATACATTACATTTTGATGTTTGAAAGTCTAGGTTTTTACATAAATTCAGATATCAATGTAATTTAAACAAATAATAATTATTATAAATAGATTTTCAAATATATGAATAAAATATATTTTCTTTTTTTTCCATTTGTTTCTTAAGCTCTTAACAATGTGATTACATGAAGAAGAAAAAAAACTTGTGGATATGTGTCTTCTGAGTGACGGTAGGGTTGCCGCGGTGAGGAAAATTTCCCACCGGTTAATCGACGTGTGACAACACCGGTAATCCCGGTGTCACCGTGGAGGGCAGGGCGGGGGGGTTAAATAGCTTTTAAATGCGTGCGCGTTATACTTTCACTTTCGAAATAAGCGTCAATTGCTTGAATGGACAAAAAAAAAACAACTCGCTGATAATAAAACTTTTATTTATAGACTTTTATTAGCATAACGAACGAATAAAAATAACCCCATGCATAGGCTGAAAAAAGTGAAAATCGGCAAACTGTGGGCCCAAAAAAAATAAAACGTTTATTAACGAATAAGAAAACAAAATAGGCCTAAATAAATTAAACAAAGTTTAAATAAGATAAAACCAAATAAAAAGAGACGAATATAAAATAAAAACTTTAAAAAGGACCTTAGCCTACATAAATGACAGCACTCTAAAAAAAAGTAAAACACTATAAATTGGCATTTATTAACATTAATATATATTGGCCAAAATATTGCCAAACAGGCGCTTTTGCATTGCGTTTTGACACCAAATCTTCCGCCATTATCTAGCTTTTCTGTAATTTGACTCGTTCTCGT